AGAGAGAATTTAAAAAAAAAAAGAGATATGAAGAATTAAATATTAGCAAATTTCTTTGGATAAAAACTTTCTAATGTCTAAAAGAGAAATCTAAAAATTAAAAGAATCCAGTCTTGCCTCATATACAAAGGCCACTCTGTCAACAGTAGATGTAATTAAAGTAAACTTAATAACATATACCTTCTCATAAATAGCTTTATATCACCAACATTCAAATGTACTAACATATTACATTTTTTCCTAAGCCTTGATTTGGTATCATAGTCATAATTCAACTTAATCAAAGCAAACCCCTTTATCAAAGGATTAGTGCAATGTTGTAAACTGATTTCATCATAGAGTATCAACCCTACAACTGGTTGTAGCTGTTGAAAACACAGTATTAAAAAGGGTTCTGAGGCCTCAATAGATAAAGTACCTTTATTAACAATATCTAGTCTTGAGTACAAGAGAGGGAAATGGTAGGATGGGTATTGTGTGTTAAATTGTGTCCCTCACCCCATGAAAAGAAAAGTTGAAGATTTAACCCCAGGTACCTGTGAACATGACCTGACTTGGAAACAGGGTCTTTGCAGATATAATCAAGTTAAACTGAGGTCACTGCCAATTAGGTGTGTGATAGGACTCAATTAGTGTCCTTTAAGAAGAGAAAATGGACATGAAGAGGAGAATGTCTAGGTGAGTCTAGAAGGCTTGAAGAAGACTTAAGACTTCTTTCTCTTTTTATTTCTTCTTTTTTCTTTTTTTGCTGAGTAGTATTTGATTATAAGAATGTACTACAATGTGTTTATCATATTAAGGCCTTTTTTTGGAGTTAATAACCAAAAATACTCCAGGTCAATGAAAAAGAGAACTAAATGAAGCCACTATATTAGAGTCATGGCTTCTTGCCCATTCCCCAGACACAGAGCTCCATAATCAATGACAAGGCCATGAACAGTCATTGCTACCACACCACACATGCCTAATATGAATTTTCCTCAGATTCTTCCCTACAGAACTGGTAGTCATTTACCCAAGTGTATTGAGGGAAGGGAAATATCCATGCTTTGTGAAAATACTGAATATTGGCTCTGAGTTACTAATTCTGGAAGCCCAGAAAGATACTATTGTTGCCAAGTATGGAGGCCCAGTGATAAAGAAGTTTTTTAACATAGTTTACTCAGGGGGAGAACAAAGCCAACCTATACTTTTTCATCCAGTTTCTGAGAATTTGAAGGAAGTGTATTTCCTCAGAAAATGACACAACACCAACTGGTTCCCTAACATATACGGTATGGGATATTATATTGGGAGAGCTATATGGAAACCAGTGCAACTCTATCTCCCCACCAAGCAGAAAATCAAAATCAGTTCCACTCCTAGGCAAGATTTTGGGTGGTTTCCAAAATTCAATGCCAAAAAACTTAAATATGCAGAAGTGGTGATACCTATCACATCCCTGTTTAATAACCAAATTTGCCACTAGTAAAGTCTAAGAGGTCTTATAGAGTTAGGGTTGATCAGTATGACTTACAGGGTAAATTCCAAATTCTTCCATTATTCTACATCTAGCCTCTTCTTAAAGCCAACTACAACAACTCATCTGCTTGAGTACGGTTCTTTTTGTATTTTTTGAGATGGGGTCTTGCTATGTTGCTCAGGCTGGTCTCAAACTCCTGGGCTCAAACAATCCTCGAACCTTAGCCTCTTGAACAGTTGGGACTACCAATACATGCCATCACACCCGGCTTGAGTACTTTTTTTTTCCTTTTTTTTTTTAAATCATTTAATCAGCCGACTTTTAAGATCCATTGATTACAGTGCTAAATCTGTGTAATGCATTTTGCTCTTTTCCAATACACAGAGACCAACAGCAACAGTCTGCATTATACGTACTGTCACAACCTAGTCTGCAGTAACCAGGACCACCTTTTCATCTCATAGGAACCTGGTAGGGTTGGAGAACTATGAGTGACACCCAGTGTTCCCTGTTGTCTGGACCAGGAATAAATGAAACTACTGCAATCCTCTTTAGGGAAGCATCAGTGTTCTAGATCCATCAAAAATGAAGGCCTAGACCACTTCCCTAGTCCCTTCACCTCAACCAAGACCAAGGGCCTCAACCAGACAGAAGACTGGTCAAAGTGAAAAAAACAAAAATAGTAGCCTGGTGACCAGTTGCAAAACTGAGGAATGTAGCTCCCAACAGGACTTAAGTTGCCATACAATTTTTCCTACTCCTTCATCTTAATATTTTAAATTTTCCTTCTCTTCTTCTTTTCCTCTATTATTATATTTAGAGTTGGAAATAGCATACATACCACTTAGTCTAGAGGCAGCAAAATATTGGAACAGAATCACAATTGAGTAACAAGAGAAAGGGATATCACCCAGAGATACTCAACTTGAAGTGCAAGGGCTCCCTGAAACCGCCTTTGAAGCAGTAGGTACACATGCTCATCTCCCATTACAGATGGGTAAGAACATGTGTATGAGCAGCTATATAAGGGATAGTTGTCCCGTGTGTCTTATAAATATTGAGTCACTAAAAGGTAAATGTAGGGGCTGTTTTCAGTCAGTCTTATGTGTTTTCTACTCTGATTTTAGTAATAAACTCTCCCTCCAAGGCCGGGTGCAGTGACTCACGCCTGTAATCTAGCACTCTGGAAGGCCGAGGCGGGAGGATCGCCTGAGCTCAGGAGTTCGAGACCAGCCTGAGCAAGGTGAGACCCCATCTCAACTAAAAATAGAAAAATTAGCCAGGTGTGGTGGCACATCCCTGTAGTCCCACCTACTCAGGAGGCTGAGGCAGGAGGATAGCTTGAGCCCAGGAGTTTGAGGTTGCTGTGAGCTAGGCTGATGCCACGGCACTCTAGCCCCAGCGGCAACACAGTGAGATTCTGTCTCAAAAAAAAAAAAAAAAACACTCTCACTCCGAGCCACAGGTTGGCATGTAATCTAAACTGGATTATTCAGATTCTCTCTCCCCTCTTTACTCTATCTCTTTAAAGAGTCTCAATCTTGAGTTAAGAGAATCAGGAAAGTACGTACCACTTTAAATGTATAAGTTTCAATGGTATTCTCAAGATTAGCAAGGAATCCTTCTATATATCAAATTGGCTTCCCCTAAAACAACTTCAGGATGCCTACTACCCTCCTCTCACTCTCTGATCACCTAAAAAAAAAAAAGTAGGGGTCAGGCTTAGTGTGGTGGCACATTCCTGTAGTCCCAGCTACGCCGGAGGCTGAGGGAGGAGGAATCGCTTAAGCTCAGGAGTCGGAGGTTGCAGTGAGCTATGATGACACCACCATACTCTATAGCTCAGGCAACAGAGCAAGATTCTGTCTCAAAAAAAAAAAAAAAAAGTTGGGGTCAACTGACATTACTGTCTCAACTTCCCAACCCAACCTGTAAACCTGTCTACATCTATATCCATTCTTACTTTCTTGCCTTCTGTGACAATGGAGAAAAGTTCCCACACCCGGTTCAAGGTTAACCTTTCCATCTGCACACCTGTTCCCATCTCTGACTGTCTTCTCTGGATCCCTGCTCTATCAATATTCTCTATCCTACACATTGAATTTTTTCCATTTCCCTTGGCCCTGTATTACCTTTAAATCATCATCCTCCCTTCTTCCCTTCACAGCTAAGTTTCTTTAAGGAGCCATAAACACTCAGTCTCCCTACCCCTGACTCACTCCCACTTCACTCACTGCAAATCTAGATCTTGTTACCATGGTGCCCACTCCTCCACCTTCATCAAGAACACTAATGAACCCCTTGCCATTAAATGGCATGGAAACTTTTCAGTCCTCATATCACTAAACCTTGCCTCCCAGGTACCAGGCCAACTGATTCTCCTGACTCTGCCTGCCCTTCTGAAAATCTATTACTCTTCCCAAACTTCTCCCTTTAATGCTCACAATCTCCAGGTTATGGTACTGTGCTTCCTTCCCTCTATTCCAACAGCTCTTCCTGTGCATTTTCACCCATTCTTAGGGCTTCAGATACAACCAGCACACTTCTCATTCTCAAACCTCTATCTCTATTCTGTATACTAGACATATCTATCTTAAACAGAGCATATTCAAAACTGCTCTCATTAACCTTCCACTCCATAAGATCAATAATAATCAGGGGTGCGGTGGCTCATGCCTATAATCCTAGCATTCTGGGAGGCCAAGGTATAAGGATCACTTGAGCTCAGAAGTTCGAGACCAGCCTGAGCAAGAGTGAGACCCCCGTCTCTACTAAAAATAGAAAAAATTAGCTGGGCGTGGTGGCACACACCTGTAGTCCCAGCTACTTGGGAGGCTGAGGCAGGAGGATTGCTTATGCCCAGGAGTTTGAGGTTGCTGTGAGCTAGGCTGTTGCCACGGCACTCCAGCCCGGGCAACAGAGCGAGATTGTGTCTCAAAAAAATAAAAAAATAAAAAAAAAAAAACAATAATCATTCTCAAACTTTAGAGTGCCATGATTCAACTTTGGAGCTTGTCAAAAATGCAGATACCTGAGCGCCCCCCTATCCCAGCCCTTCCCAAAGGAAAATCTTATAGGATCTTATATGTCTAGGATAGAAAATCTTCTATATAACAATCACTCCAGGACATTACTATGCAGGTGGTCTAGGCTTTGGGACACAACGATCAGTGTTTTTGTCTATGTGGAACACACACATGTAATGACTTTTGTACAGCATGCTTAGAAAAACAGAGGACGCTGTTCACAGCTGACCACAAACTGGGAGGAAGCAACATCTCAGCATATTGGTAATCCACTGGTAGCACCCCAGTGAGACGCCCTAATAGAAATTGTTGAGTGAACACTATGTTATTCAGTAAAAATAGTTTCCAACCAAGCTGAATTTTAGATAGTTTGGACAGAAATGAGTTTGAAATTGGTCTCTCTGGCAGTATTTCTGTGGCATCACTCTTTTATGTTGCCAAATAATTGGGGAATCATAAGCTTTAACAAACAGTTGAGTGGAGGCAGGGTTGCTGATCTTTGAGGATCCTCCCGAGGACACCCTCTGAATAAAAGGCCTTCTCATCTCCTGTTGGTGGAAGAACAGGGCTCAGATCTTCCTTAGAAACAATTTAGTAGGTGCTCAATGCAGTACAGTACCTCCCACTCTTCTTCTTTGCCAGTATAATTTTCTCTTTTCACTTTTCCCCCCAGATCCTACTGTTTTTATTACACGGAAGAGAAACAGAATAAAGAAAAATGTAAGGGGACAATATTTATATACACTGAACAAAAGAATGGTTATAATAAGTTTTTTAAGAAGCTAATGACTATTTGGATTTAAAAAAAAAAGCCCATCATTATAAATTGTTTAAACCAAATACAAATTCAAATAGTAACAATACGATGATATAGAATTAAACTGTTTTAAAGGTCACTTAAAAAATATGAAGATGTCCCCTTCCAGCTGGGACTTCCTCAGGGTCCCCAGCTGGAAGGGCACAAAAATATAAAAAAAAAAATCTGAAGATGCAAAGGGGAGTAATATTTAAGAATAAGACAGGATATGGGTTTTTATTATTATGATAATGAAAGCAATGATTTAACAATTGTTTTCTACCAACAAATAGAGCTAGTATAATTTCATTATGGTATGAATAGTTTTCAGATCCAATGGAAAATATCATTTTTCTTATAATTTCTAAAAAAGAAAATTGTTCAAAATTAGGCTGGTCCGAAGGAAGTGAGTTATCTCATTTGATTGTTCACAGTTACAGATTGAACTCCTTATTCTACTACTTTCCCCCTTCTCACTACTGTACTTAAGTACTCTTAAAAAAAAATTCAAAATATTTTACTAATATTTACCCTACAAGACCTAATTTTGCTACAAATGAAAACAAACGAAGTAATGCCATGTAACTTTTTATAAATTCCATCAAATAGTATGACAGAATGAACACAAACCAGAACGACGTAACAACAAAACAGAAAAACTCTATTTCTCAATCTGCTACCTAAATAATACTTATAGAAAAGACTACCTTCAAAATTAGGGCACAGTTTTGACAGTTCAATTAAGTTCAATAAAGTATGTATTTTTAAAAGCCAATCATTTTTATTTCATCTCTTTACAGTTTTGCTCCCAAGATGCATGGTTGTAAGTTGCTTACCTTGTCCATTTCCACTATTGTCAACATCAGCCAAACACAAACAGCCTTGATCAAATTCTTCTTTCTCTCCCAGAACAGTAGACCACCAATCACGGGCTTTAAATAAAGACATTTCTTTCACTCTAAAAAGAAAACATTCATTTATAATAAAAACCCACTTCACACCATGAATTAATTATCTCGTAAGACATAGTAAATTAAACTTGGACACTTTTGAAAAGAACATTTCTGTATTAACTTTAATTTTTAACATTTTATACACATATATAAAATGACAAATCCAAATGGTAAAAAGCATTAATCAGATTATCTTGCAACATCATTAGTAAACTGGGCTGAGAAATTATACATTTATGTTGGGCTAATTCTCTCATCTGAGACAGGAGAAAACAGCACAAAGTAACAAAAAAAAATTCTTTGCAGGATCAAAATTGAAATCTTACCAACACTATTTAGCACATAAGTCTTTAACAAAATACATAACTTCCTTTCAGTCTGATCATTGGAGAGATTGCACCACAGTCGACCCTCCGCATCCTTGTGGGATTGGTTCCAGGACCCCAGCAGATACAAAATCCACAAACCCACAAGTCCCTTATATAAAATGGCCCAATACGGTCAGCCCTCAGTGTCCACAGGTTTTGATCCACAGTTGGTTGAATGTGTGGGTGTGAAACCCAGGGACACGGAGGGCGGATTGTAACTCCTGTTACGAAGAGTCGCTAAGATGAACAAATGAGATCAAATGGGTAACGCTGGAACTGTTACATTACAGGCACTCCAAAAGCATTCACTCCTCTCCCCATTCTAACTGAAGAAAGGCAAGATGGAATAGGGAAATTCACACCAAAAAATAAACAGAAAAATTGGGCTGCAGGTCCATTGATACCACTAACTACCTATGTGTCTCCTCAGGCAACCCATACAACCTCTCTGTACTTTGATCTCTTATCTAGAATAAGCATATACCAGCTCTACCTACCATGGAGTTACTGCTATGTGTAGGTGAAAGCACTTGGACCTTTTGAATCACAACATGACATCATATGTCCTGAGATCCTACAAGAGTTCATTTATCTAACATAAATGAGGCTTTCCGTCAGGCTACATTGATTTAAATGGTAGTTAGGAAATGCAGTCAATTCTCCTTATTTGCAAAAGTTATATTTTATATGGTCACCACACACAGTGAATTAGTGAATACTAAACCATTGCTCCTAAGGGAAACACAGGGTTAGGTTCCTGTGAGCCTCTAATCAAAATACTTTCGTCAACCAATCAATACACAATGTTGTTTTAATGTGTTTCCGATTAAAGATATCTTATTTAATATATATTGTCGATTCATTACCATGGAACTCAGGGCCAACATCACTATAATCAACCTGAATGAAGCTTATCTAATCATATGTACCCAGCCAAGCGTGGTGGCTCATGCCTGTAATCCCAGCACTTTGGGAGGCCAAGGAGAGAGGATGGCTTTAAGGCCAGGAGTTCAAGACCAGCCTGGGCAACATAATGAGACCTTTTCTCTACCAAACCAAAAAAAAAAAAATCATACGTACAGATGCTTTTCGATTTACAGTGGGGTTACATCCCAATAAATGCATTTAATATACCCAGGAAAAGATCAAAATTCAAAATTCAAAGTATGGTTTCTACTGAATGTGTATCATTTTCGCACCATCCTAAAGTTCAAAAATTATAAGGAAACCATCATTAAATCAGGGACCACCTGTATTTTCTCCATAAGGTATTAATACATCACAGCCTTCTTACACACCTAGGAGCATTAGACAGCACTTCATTCAGCATTACATCTGAGCGTCATTTTAAACAGTGAAATCACCATCTACTCCCTCAGAAAAGCACAAAAATATTTTTTAAAATGGCACCAAATACTATAGACCATAAAAGAACACTAATTTACAGTATGAGAGCTGAAACAAGAGGGCTTTCAGCTGGGATCATGTGTGTCAGGTGACTCAAGTTTTTGCTGCTCTGCACATGAATGACCACAAATTACTGCAAAAGCATCACAAGCATTGATTTGGGAGTTACAAGTAAATTTTAGCAAGTATGCAAATTTGCAAATACAGAATCTGCAAATAATGAGGATAAACTCATTTTAAAATTGTAGATCAACCTGTTTCTTAAAGTAGACCTTCCACATGGGCTAATCATAGAAACCAGGACCATTTGTTTTCATTCGACATTGGCCAAGAAATTGGCCGTGACTAATGTAGTGATGCAAAGTGCAGACTCTGGAGGCAGCCTGTTGGAGTTGGAATTCACGCTCTACCGTGTACTAACCATGCAACCAAGGGCAAGTTACTAAAAGTTACTGAACCTCTCTACATTTCAGCTCCCCCATTTACAAAATAAAGAGCGCTGTTGTGAGGATTAAATAAGAAAACAGTGGAGGCAACCTACAGAACTGGAGAAAATATTCACAAGTCCTATGTATATATGATAAAGAGTTAATATCTACAACATATAAAGAACTCCCACAACTCAACCACAGCAAAAAAAAGCAAACAATCCAATTAAAAAATGGGCAAAGGAACCTGAATAGACATTTCTCCGAAAAAGATATACAAATGGCCAAAAAGCATATGAAAAGATGTTCAACATCACTAATCATCAGGGAAATGGAAATCAAAACCACAATGCAACATCACCTCGCACCCATTAGGATGGCCAGTATCAAAAAACAAAAAAAAATCCAACCTAAGTGAGTTGATTTCAAGAAAAAAGAAAACAAAAAATAACAACAGTTGGCAAGGATGTAGACAAATTGGAACCTCTGTGCACTGTTGGTGGCAATGTAAAACAGTACAGCAGCTACGGAATATAGCATGTAGGTTCCTCAAAAAATTAAAATTAGAAGTTTTGATCCAGCAATCCCACTTCTTGGTGTATAACCATAGGAACTGAAAACAGAATCTCAGAAAGATATTCACACACACAGATTCACTGCAGCATAATTCACAACAGCCCAGAGGCAGAAGTAACCTAAATGTCCATTGATGAACGAATGAATAAAGAAAATGTGATATATACACAGAGTGGAATATTATTGTCTTAAAAAGGAAATTCTGATATACGCTACATCACACTTGAAGACTATTATGCTAAGTGAAATAAACCAGTCATAAAAAGACAAATACTGTACTGATTCCACTTATATGAGGTATCTAGGATAGTCCAGTTCATAGGAACAGAAAGGATGGTGATTGCCAGGGGCTGGGGAAGGGGAGTTGTTGTTTAATGGGTATATAGTTTCGATTTTACAAGATGAAGAGTTCTGAAGATTGGCTGCACAACGGTGTAAATATACTTGACGCTACTGAACTGTACATTTAAAAATGGTTAAACATTAAATTTTATGTTACATACATTTTACCACAATTAAAAATAAAAAATATAGGCCCGGGTGTGGTGGCTCACACCTGTAATCCTAACACTCTAGGAGGCCAAAGAAGGAGGATCACTTGAGTTCAGGAGCTAGAGACCAGCCTGAGCAAGAGGGAGAGCCTATCTCTACTAAAAAAATAGAAAAATTAGCCTGGCACAGTGGCGCACGCTTATAGTCATAGGTGACTTCAAATCCGGCAGCAAGTATTCAAAAAATGTAATAAACACTTTTATTACACTTTTATTAGATTTTTTGGAGAGAGAAGTAACAGTATTTGATAAATTCCACATAGTCTCATGTACTCCAAGTATAGGAAAATTGTAACATGTCATACTGTTGGATTACCAGAATGAAGATAGATAATTTTCTTGCAGCCAGAGCAGAATATCACCGAAATTCTTCACTTGAAATACCTAAGATTCACTAGAAGGACTCACAAGACACAACATATAATCATCTTCATCATGGCTATGATTTATGACAGCAAAAAGACACAAAGTGTAATCAGGAAAGGGAAAAGGTGCATGGGGGCAAGTCTGGAGAAAACCAGACACAAGTATCCAAGATAGAAGGAATGGGCTCTGGAGGGCTACAGAGGTCAGGAAGAAGAGGACGAAATAGAAAAGGAAGAGCTGCTTAACAGCTGAAGGGGTCTTAACCTTCACCTCATGTGGCAGAAGAAAAAACCTCATGGAGGCTGCCTAGAGAACACACTAAACATCAAATAAGGAGAAAAGAGAGCTTTTTGGCCAATGCTATTGAATGAATACATAAAAAATCGAAATTGGCCAGGCATAGCGGCTAATGCCTGTAATCCCAGCACTTTGGGAGCCTAAGACAGGATCACTTGAGGCCAGGAGTTCAAGGCCAGCCTGGACAACCTAGCAAGACCCCAACTCTACAAAAAATTTAAAAATTAGCCAGGTGTAGTGACATGCGCCTATAGTCCCAGCTACTCAGGAGGCTGAGGCAGGAGGATCACTTGAGCCCAGCAGTTCAAATTTACAGTGAGCTATGATCACACTACTGTACTCCAGCCTGGGTAACAGAATGAAAAAATAATAAGAAAATCAAAAAAATGAAAAATCAAAATCCTTAGGTAAGTGACCACAAGAGATGTAGCTGGAGTTTGAATATAAACACTGCATCAAGTGAAAATAGCTATCATGTGAAAATAGTCTTGAAAACCTTTGTTACAGGCCGGGCACGGTGGCTCACGCCTGTAATCCTAGCACTCTGGGAGGCTGAGGCGGGAAGATCGCTCAAGGTCAGGAGTTCCAGACCAGCCTGAGCAAGAGCAAGACCCCATCTCTGCTAAAAAAAATAGAAAGAAATTAGCTGGACAACTAAAAATATATACAAAAAAATTAGCCAGGCATGGTGGCCTCTAGTCCCGGCTACTCAGGAGGCTGAGGCAGAAGGAATGCTCGAGCCCAGGAGTTTGAAGTTGCTGTGAGCTAGCCTGATGCCATGGCACTCTAGCCCAGGCAACAGAGCAAGACTCTGTCTGAAAAAAAAAAAAAAAATGAAGTACAAAACTTATACTCTGAAAACTATAAAACATCATTAAAAGAAATTAAAGATCTAAATAAATGGGTAGGCCAGGCATGGTATCCCATGCCTGTAATCCCAGCACTTTGAGAGGCCCAGGTGGGAGGACTGCTTGAGGCCAGGAGTTCAAGACCAGCCTGGGCAATATAGAAAGACCCCATCTCTGAAAAAATTTTAAAATTAGCCCAACATGGTGGCATATGCCTGTATTCCCAGCTACTGAAGAGGCTGAGGCAGGAGGATCACTTAAGCCCAGGAGTTTGAGGTTGTAGTGAGCTAGGCTGACACTATGGCACTCACTCTAGCCCGGACAACACAGTGAGACTCTGTCTCAAAAAAAAAAAAAAAAAAAATCCAATTAAAAATGAACAATAGGGCTAAACATATATTTTCCCAAGTAAGATATACAAATAGCCAATAAGGACATAAAAAGATGTTCAACATTATTAGTCATCAGGGAAATACAAATCAAAACTATGAGATATCACTTCACATCTACTGTGATAGAATCAAAGAAAGAAGTCAGATAGTAAAAAGTGTTGATGAAGGTATGGAGAAATCAGAACCCTCATATACTGCTGGTGAGAATGTAAAATGATGCAACCACTTTAGAAAAGAATCTGGGAGTTCTTCTAACACTTAAACGTAGAGTTACCATACGATTCAGTAATTTCAATTCAAGGTATCTATCCAGGAGAAATAAAAACATATGTCCACACAAAAACTTACACATAAATGTTTATAAATGTGGAAACAACCCAAAAGTCCATCCATTGATGAATATATAAAAACGTGGTATAGTCATACAATGGAATACTATTTGGCCATTAAAAAGAAAAGAATGAAGTACTGATATATGCTAAGAATGAAGTACTGATATATGCTACAACATCAATGAACCTTAAAAACATTATGCTAAGTGAATGAAGCCAATCACAAAAGATCATGTATTATATGATTCTATTTATATATAATGTCCAGAATAGTAAATTCATAGAGACAGAAAGTAGATTAGTAGTTGCTTAGGGATGGAGGGTGGTGAGGGAGGAGGGTAGGAGAGTTATAGCTAAAAGATGTGAGGTTTCTTTCTGAGGCAATAAAAATATTCTAAAATTGTGGTAATAGCTGAACATATCTGTAAATATATAGAAATTCCCAAGTAAGATATACATATATGTGTTATATTATGAATATTATGTGTTAAATGAGTGAATTTTATGGTAAATGAATTATATTCTAATAAAGCTGTTATTTTTTTAAAGAGAGCAAATGGTAATGGATATATGGGGTTCATTTTACTATTCTTCATACTTTTATGTTTAAAATTTCCCATAGTGGGCCGGGCGCAGTGGCTCACGCCTGTAATCCTAGCATTCTGGGAGGCCAAAGGCGGGTGGATGGCTCAAGGTCAGGAGTTCGAGACCAGCCTGAGCAAGAGCGAGACCCCATCTCTACTAAAAATAGAAAGAAATTATCTGGACAATTAAAAATATATATATACAAAAAATTAGCCGGGCATGGTGGCACATGCCTGCAGTCCCAGCTACTCGGGAGGCTGAGGCAGGAAGATCGCTTGAGCCCAGGAGTTTGAGGTTGCTGTGAGCTAGGCTGACGCCATGGCAAAAAAAAAAAAAAAAAATTCCCATAGTGAAAATAAAGTTTCATTTTTTTAGTAGGACACTCCTGTATTTCGGCCACATTTACCACTATCTAAAAAGAATAGCAAATTAAATTCAGAAGGTTAGCAAAAGAAATTCTACCCTTTCTCCTGGAAGACATCGCAAACCAATGAGAGAAAGAAAAATTAGACATAAATTAGGACTTAAATAAACAGCTAATTTGTATTCCAAATTGAGAAAGATATAGGCCTTGACGTTGAGATACTAAGGTAAGCAGTTGGGTGGGGGAGGTCCAGCACTGACAGGTTAGGAAGAAGAAAGGTAAGGAACAATAGTAAGGGCATTTTTCAGTCATGAAACCTGGATTTTGGGTCACAAAAACAAACAAAAAGTATTCCAAATAACAAAAAATAAAATATGTATAAATTGATCTTTTTTATTTAGTTAACTATCTTGATTAATAAAAATAAGGAACTAGAGTTTGCATTTTAATGCCCTATTCAATATTGATTTCCAGTTCCTCAGTGATTTTTCTTAAATAAATGGAAAATAAAAACCAAAAATCAGGTTTTCAATGACTATCATCTTCCTTCACCTTGAAAGAAAATAATAGCTAATATTTACTAATCATTTACTAAATCCCAGGCAAGGTTCAAATGCTTTGCAAGTATTCTATTTTAATCTTTGTAACAAAACTACAGTCATAGCTACTATTATTCAAGTATCCTTGAATACAGATAGATTAAGAAACCTGCCCAAATGGTGACAACTATTAATAATAAGTGCTGTGTGGTACCTAAACCCAGGCTGGTCTATTCCAGAACTCTGAACAAATGGCCTATGCAGCTACCACATGTGGACTACAACAGCAATAGCTCTGTTCATATTCATTCTGATCACTACAAGTCCAAACTGCAGAAAAGTATTTCATACATTTAAAGTGTTAAAGGATAATTAGAAAACAATAATTTGAAGGTTTTAACGGGTGCATTCCTATAAATAGGCACAAAAGATTAGTTTCAAATGCCTTCCTAGAATAATAAATGGGACATAATCTCTTTATCCCCTAATCTCCAGAAATTTTCTTCCACACTTACCACTCAACACCTTCTTTTTTGTTTTTGATACTTATTCACATGCATGTGAATATCCATACCAACTTTACACAGATTTAAGTTTCATTTAAGAGGTGGATGTTCTAACACTTCATTGACCTAGTCCTACAACGTGTAAGGATGAATAGAAGAATGGCTGTGGCACTGATAACCCCGAAGAATTCTTTGGGAAGAACGTAAGAGTTTTAAGGCAGATTCTGAAATTAGAAGGCTAAGACTCTGAAGTTGTTGTTGGTTTTGGAGGTTTGCTTTCTCTAGGTTATGCCAATGTCACCTCAAACTTCAGAAGGTAGGAATCAGGTCCATCCAGGAAAGGTGACAAATTCATGCAGAGTTAGAATATTATTGCTTTTCAGGGCAATAACACAAGGGTTCAGTGGTAGGATTTTCAATAAAAGACACACAAAGCAAAAGAGCATAAAAGCTGGATTAGAACAGACCTGTGTTTAGTTTCTGACCCCACATTCCAGCCATATGACCTTAGACAAGTCCCTATTTTCTAGTATCCCAACTGTTCTAGGGGGTAGGAGGATAAAATGGCTCAACCCACAGCAAGCACTCAATAAATCGGATAAATGTCAGTAGTAACCTAGTAGTAGTAATAGTGGTAGTAGTAATGGTGGCAGTGGCAGCAGCAGCGGTAGTAGAGGTGGTGATGGTTATGGTAGTGTGCTCTGAAGACACAATTACAAATGCCAATCTTACTCTCTGGACTAAGACTGGTACCAATCTTAAATTGGTGGGACACCTTTAAATGGGACACCAAAAAGACTGATAGCAATTTTTAATGTAAATGTTATTAATCAACAAGGATGTTTTAAAATAACTTCATGTATTTCTATAATTTTGAAAAAAATACTTGAAAGTATTGTGAAAGATAAGACTTGCTACATACCTCAAAAGATATAAAACTTTTAAAATTACTATAAACTATTGCTATTGGATTTTTTCCCCTTCAATGAGTATTTCCCTCAAGAAGTTGTACCATAACCATACGTGTATAGTTGTAACTTAAGCACAATTATACACAATGTAAATTCTTTAAACTCTCACAAATAACTCGTAAACTATTTTCAAAATGTTTTTTTAATTCTTCTAAAAAAGACTTATAAAGTTTCTAAAAGTCTTTTTCTTTTTTGATTCTTCAGTGCATTAACCCCTAAAAAATCAGCATTTTCTTTACAAAATGCTAATAAATTAGAAAATCTTTGTCTTTCTGAATGCTGGCAGACTTTAGTCAAGACCCACAGTTTCGCCTGCAGCATCTTTCAAGTTGTGTGTGTGTGTTTGTGTGTACTTGTAAGATGTGTTTATGTGTAAGATAAGGTTTCACTTGTTTTTTGTTTTGTTTTGTTTTTCACCAGATCACAGTTCAAGGAAGATATGGTTTCATTTTTAAAGTAAAAGTGAAATACCAAAAAAATCTATAAGTTTCTCCAGGAAACTGAAGTCAATTGCAGGATTTGTTTGGGAAGAGATGCTGATAAAAATCAGCTCAGTGCATCTAAACTGCTGAGGTCTGCAAAGAAAGAAGAAAGAACAATAATCCTATTACAAGAAAGATTAGGGGCTATTAGTACGTGGCATCCTACTTCAGTCATGGGCTGGGAACTGCTTTGACCATTTGCTCACAAACCTGTTGAAGCATCGGAGAAGGATGCTCATGCACCATGTGACATTCCTCAATGGAATCCTTAAAAATTCTCATCACCCTTTTCTCGAAGATGTTCACAGGATCTCACACACTTCGTTTTCATAGTGTTTGTTTGCAAACATCCTTTCTAAGAAGCCGATCACTTTACATCCCCAAAACCATTACACTGCATCAGAGGATCAGTATTCTCCACAAAACATGGAAAGGGCATTCATGAACCCGAAGTTTAATTGCAGACATACTTTCTTACCTGATGCCAAGTCAGACGGGCTCTGCCCCACCTCTCTGCGAACACTCCTTCCGGAGATTTCCCTTTAAGAAAGCCTCACAAGGGTCCCAGTGATGGAGCAGAGGGAGCAAGAACACAGGGTGCAGAGAAAATCAACCCTTAGCTTCACTACTTCCTCTGGTTTTCCTGTTCGAACTTGTTCCACGTCTGAGGCAAAGAGACAGCCTCACCAGGCAGCACCACCAGCTCCACAGAGTTGGAGCAATTTCCCCAAGAAGCTCCCAGCACTCCCTGTCACCCCCAGAGACAAGCAGAGGAAACGGCATCTATCCCTCGGTAGATACGAGGCAGACGAGAACAACTGCAAGTCCTGCTGCTCGCAAAGAGGAGGAAATCATGGAGGAGGAGGCGAGCGGGATGAAGCAGAAAACCGATAGCCACGGCGGAAGGGACACCTCCCCACTCCAGCCTAACTCCAAGCCATCTTCGCCCTGTTGTCATAGCGCTTTACAACGGACGCTACTGCGCAAGTCAGACGCTGCCCCGCGGCGCCTTCTGGGGGCTGAAGTGCAGGGTGGCCGAGGCGTGGAAGGCGGAGAACGATTTCTGAGCGGGCTGCGGATGGAATCAGATTTCTACTGGGGCAGGGCTCGTTTGAACCACCGCCTACTCCTCATTAGCGGGGAGAGATAATTAATGCAATTCCCTTCCCTGTCCTTGCAGCACTACCTCAGGAAGACAAGCCTCCCGCCAGGACTCTAGGCAACAGGCCACGCCTCTCCCGCGGCGTCCCCGGTTCCGCCCCTCGGCGCTCGTGGGTGGGGCCTCCCTGGAGGCGGGGCTCACGCTGAGTGGCGCGCGGGGCGGCATGTCGCGGGCTTCTCTGTGGTGCCCGCTGGCTTCCCGCGCTTCCGAGGCTCCCGGTGACCGCGAATGTGCAGCTTCGGTGGACCGGGTGGCGGTGGTAAGGACGGGTACAATGGCTCATGCGTGTAGCCTCAGCACTTTGGGAGGCCAAGGTGGCAGGGTCGCTTTGTGGCCAGGAGACTAACCTGGGCAACACGGTGAGACCTCATCTCTACGAAATTTAAAAATTAGCTGGGCGTGGTGGTGGCCACACACCTGTAGTCCTAGGTACTTGGGAGGCTGAAGAAGGAGGATCACTGAAGCGGAGAAGTTGTAGGTTACAGTGAACTAGGATCACACCACTGCGCTCACTCCAGCCTACGCAACAAAGCAAGACCCTGTCTCAAAAAAAAAAAAAAAATTCAAGTTACTGAAATTTTTTTACTTAAAAAATATGCATAATATATTTATAGGTGAAAAAAGTTTTAAAACACCATATGCCATTTGATATTTTTATTTTAAAAATATAGAAAAATATTGGAATTTTCACAAAAATATTAACAGTGGCTATTAAATGGACTCATGAATATTTAATTTTTCCTCTACATTTTTGATGTTTTCCAGTTTTTATGCATTGGCCATGTATTACCTTTGAAATTAGAATAAAAGTTTTAAAAGTAATAAAATGGAATAATGGATGAAAATAATTCAACAAAAACTACATTGAATTACTAATTTATGTTGCAACTGTCTAAGAAATGTAACTGCTGTTTGAAAAAAAAAAAAGTCCCTGCAAGCAGAAGCTTCTGAAACCCATAATAGAGTCAACCTATTTTAGTGACAATGTGGGACAGCATGAAGAGTATTTGCTGCCCACTGCAACCTCAAACTCCTGGGCTCAAGCCTCAGCCTCCCAAAGTGTTGAGGTTAAAGGCTTCAGCCACTGTACCCAGTGAAACAAAGCTTCTTTCTAAAAGAAATGCAATTGTCTTAAGCCTCCTCACTTTGAATCTCATCAAATAACCAGGAAAGATTAACCACAGAGGAGAGGTTAGGAGTTCTCACCTTGGCCAGACAGGCTTTTCATCTATTCTTCTGAGGGAAGCTCCCAGGGACTTAATCTATGTAATAAGACAACCTTTGTTGCTGGGCACTTTCCAGTAACTTGTCCCCATCCAGCTTCCAAAGAGCATCATTTAAAATATAATGTCTGACTCCTGGGTCCACACATCTCTACCCTGGGAAAAGAGTATTTCAGCCCCAACCACCTGGCCCCTCTTCAACTCTCATACTTTGTGTGTGGCTTCTGTTCTTAAGCACCTTTAATAAAATTTGTTATGCCTTTTCTCCTGTTAATCCATCTTTTGTCAATTCATTTCAGCAGACTCAACTCTTCAAAGGGAAAGGTGGAACTTCCCTACTGGGTTGATGTATAAGACATCTTCCAATGTTAAAATCCGATGATCCTGTGAGGGAGAAGACACACTAGGACAGGAAAGAAGACACAGAAGTAGAAGACAGGTTGAGTGGTGACTGACACTTCTGTTTCATCTCTTAGTGCTTCCAAGTGTTTTACTTTCTTGTCATTCCTTTTAAAATGTTAATTATCTGATCAAACACTGTGTGTGCTCTTCAAGGTCTCTTCAAATCCTCATAGACATTCTTTGAATTGGATTTCTGTAGCAATCTACAAAGAGAAAACTAATCTCTTGGTTTCAGTGACAACATTATCCTAAGAACTACTTACAATCATATAGAAACTTTAAAATGTGATTTCCATTAAGTCTCTGGTGGTGATTTTGTGAAGACTCACCAAATCTAAAAACTAACTCTAGTCAAGGAGAGTCAACAGTAGACTCTAAAATCTCAGAAAGATAAAGGTGGGAGTTAGGAGGTAAGCAGGTATCAGGTAAAATAAAGTGGGAAGAATCTTGAAATTTAAATGTTTTATTTGGGAAATAAGAATTGCAATTCTGGGAATACACACAGACTGTAGTCTTTGGTATGTCTGTAGGACAAAGAGAAGGTTGGGAGTTTTATTAGAAAGATAAATGTTATGTATTGTCCTGAAAGAAAGCTCTTTGGCACTAGAGAACCTTTGGGGAGGTGGCAAGCTCTGATTGGTGAGTAATGGTGGTAGATAAAACCAGTCTTAGAGTCAGGGCAGGTCTTTCAGCAGCAACTAGGTACTAATAAAACTGGTCTGAGAGTTACAGCAGAGTCCAGTAGCTGGCCTTGTGGAAAATTTGATTATTGGAGCAGGTACTATTGATACTGGACTTCAGGTTCTTGGTCCCCAAGTCAACAGCAATTGGTGCCAGACAAGAAAGATTTATACAGGCAAGGCTTTTACTAGGACTTTTTGTTCGAACAAAAAGGGAGACAGGTGTGATTAATGGGCTGGGCGTGGTGGCTCACGCCTGTAATCCTAGCTCTCTGGGAGGCCGAGGCGGGCGGATTGTTTGAGTTCAGGAGTTCAAGAGCAGCCTGAGCAAGAGTGAGACCCTGTCTCTACTAAAAGAAATAGGAAAACTTAGCTGGGCAACTAAAAATAGAAAAAATTAGCCAGGCATGGTGGTGCGCACCTGTAGTCCCAGCTACTCAGGAGGCTGAGGCAGGAGGATCGCTTGAGCCCAGGAGTTTGAGGTTGCTGTGAGCTTCGATGATGCCACTGTACTCTAGCCTGGGCAACAGAGCGAGAGTGTGACTCTCTCAAAAAAAAAAAAGAAAAAGAAAAGCCAAGAGTACACAATCAAGTTATACTGAAGAAAAACATTGCTTTTCTAGGCCGTCAGAATATACATTTCAGCATCATCCCATATAAGCAGTTAGGCCCAGAAAAAAATTTACAGAAGCTGATGAAAAAGTTGAAGGAGAGAGTTATCATCCCAGGCCTTCTTAAGGGAAGAAAAGGCTGAAGATAATGATGTATGACCTGCTAATCATGAGCAACAAGATACAGCAAAAGTTGAACCTCTGAGATATGGATCTGAGAAATTTCAAAACCAAAACTGTACCTCAAAAAATGAAAATACTATTTTAAATGAAGAAGATAGCATTTTTAATGTGAAAGTAGGGAAATTAATTGGATCTCGGGAAGAAATGTGGCAGAAATAGAAATTGTGATTTACAAGATGGCTGTTAAAGAAATAGATTTTAGAATTAAAAAACAAAACCTCTTGCAATTTCATTAAAGGCAGATCAATACTTCAAGAAAATCTTGTTGTTTTAAATATAGAGGACTAGACTTGGGTCCTGTATCAGTACACCCCTAACACCAGTGTTTAATTTTTAGAA